AAAGAAGAGAAACGATTTAGAAAACAAAATATATATATATATATATAAATTAAAATTTGTTATTAGAATAATGATCGATTACGAGGGTGGGTTGAAAAGTTTTGAGCTTAAAAAAAAGAAAATAAAACAAAAAAAAAATTGTTTCTATGTTAAAATATACTTTACACTTATATATTTAAAATTGTAAAATATTTTAAAATCTATCCACGTGTGTGTGTATGGCCGAAAATCATTTTCCTTTATAATTATTCATTGTTGACGTATAATTAAATGAAGACATCAACGTGTTAACATTTACGTATGAAATTTAATTAGATGAATAGCCGACAGTAATTAACATAAATTAAATATAAATTTTTATATTTTCCGAGACAATTTTCTATTGTCCCATTTTCATTAATGTAAGCAAACAATGGATAAATGCGAACTTAAGACTTAAGGATTTTCTAATTTTATCTTTCGACTATATTTTTCTTTTTTTCTGCGGCTTATTGTTAGTAACGTTTATTGTTCTAATATACGAGAAAATGCTTTAATCATCTCTCTTTCTTTCTCTCTCTCTCTCTCTCTCTCTCTCTTTCATTAGCTTATGTATTTCGTGTTAATCTTCTATTACATAACGTATCTTACTCGAGAGACGGCCGTCAACTTGCACACATATATATATGGATACACATACATAATTTTATTGTCTTTGTCTGATAACGTATGTTATTTATGTTCCCCGTTTAATCATTTTCTCGAAAGATTCAAAAGTTTATTCATATTTATACCGATATTTTGTCTTTGTTTATCCTCTTACCTACTCCCATTAATATTATATTAATTAAATTTATTCATTTAAGAATAAAAGCTATATAGATAATTTTATATTAGATAAATAATAATAATGATCATATCGAATAGAAAAATTTCAAAGACAAAATCTTCTAATAACAGATATCATTCTTCGTGAGAAAATTACGTTGGCATAATCGAAATAGCTTTTTGCCCTTCGGTTCGAATCGAATTTTATGCGTGGGTATTGGTGGCTTCTCTAATTTAAATTTGTTCTTTACTTTTACGTGATTAAAACGTATGCACAAAAGATTAATAATAAATAGAAATTAAATAATAAGTATATAATATAAAATTTGTATTAATAATATATATATATATGAAATATTAAAGATAAAATTTACAACAATAAAAGAGAAGCAAAAAAAACATTGGATAAAAGAAATTCGTACAACTATATTCGTAAATATCATTAAATTAAAATACTTACTTAATATAATTAATCGAGAAGCGTATTATAATATTTTCTTTAATATTCTTGATTTTTTTTTTTTTTCGATTTCACGATCAGTTATAAACTTATTCTTCCGTTACGCGTACAACGACTGTGACATTTATGCAAAAGCATTTCGGCTGAATAGGGTAGTCCTAGTTTTCCCCTACCCTTATCCTACTCAACCCCACCATGCGTGAAACCTTAGTGCGCAACTTTTAAGAATGATTAAATACCTTAACTTGACAACGTGATGATACTTCATAATTAATTGTCTAGTTCGATCAACATATAGGATCGTTTTTAATATTTTACCTATTTTCTTTTCTTCTTTTTTTTTTTTTTTAATTTTAATTTAAATTAAAACCATCCACTTTCGTGTGAATTTATATAATATATATATATGTGACTGTTTTTGTTGAAAAGTTTTGATTTTATTCGTTTCTAAAAGTTTCGAGACGGTTATGATCGTAAATACGTCAATTAATCCGATGCCATAAATAAATTTTCTTGTTTTTAAAAGGCACCGAATTAATTTCTACACTTAATATACATATATCACACGGATATATATTTTTAAATTATAATCAAATATAAATTGAAACACATTCTTGTATAGGTTAATTAAAAATCCTGTTAATTTTAACCCACCACGCGAATTAAGACAGCATAAAAAACTTACGGCAGTAAAAAACTAATATGTGCAACTTATGGCTCATTGTTAATCCATAATTGTTTGCCTTAATTATTAATTATTTCACAAGTTATTGAAAATTAAAAAAGAAAGTATAAATAAAAATAAAAAAAAGAAGGAAAAGATTTTTGTTTTTTCCTAGTTTAAGGGGCCTCGGTGGACAGAGAGAGAGAGAGGGGGGTGGGTGGGAATAGTCGACGTTTCAAAATTGATCTTTTCGTTATCGTTAGACGATAAAAATGCTAATCTTTTTACCATAACAACACACGAAAATATTATTCACGAGTGAACTTTGTACTCTTACAATTAGTTCATATATATATATATATATATTTATTGTATGAGAAATATTAAAATCGCGGCAAATTCAAAAATACGAATCTTCGATGAAATCGATATAACATTTGAAAATCATACGCAATTCTAATCGAACTTCGGCATTGATTTACGTAACTATTATATCTAACTAATCGCACGAACTGTTAACCTCATGCTCTTCGATCATCCTATTCTGGATTTTCCCTGAACCGTGTGTTCGAATATATTTTCTTTTTATTTTTATTAACATTGCATTGTAGGAAATAAAATTTATAAATGTCTAGAAAAATACACACACACACAAACACACAACGACGTTTTTACTAATAAACGATTTTCAAGGTAACACAAGTTAAATTTTGATATTAGATCGTTTTGCAATAGTAAATCGAGAATTAAAACGATACCTAACTTACGACATTGTCATCGTTGTTATTGTTGTTGTTGTTATCATTTTCTTACGTCACATCGAAACTTATCGGTTTTCTTATATATGTATATATGTTAAATATAATATTTATAAAGCTTTTATTATCCTATTTCTTTCTTAATTTTATTCCGACATTGACACGAATGTGAGAAACAATTTAAACGAGTTTACTGATTGCATTTTGTGTTGTTACGCGTGTGTATGGTACCAATTATCTTGAATATAAGTAGATAAGCTCGTTAATGTTATATAACTGATTACAAAAATTATTCTAATGATATTTAAATATTTGTATATATATATATATACATTTTATAATACAATGTATAATATATTATACATTATTCTTTGTTTATAAATTTTATAATTTATAATATTGATAGGAAATTATTACGAATATATTATAAAGGAGTATATCTGATTAGGATTGAAAGAAATATATGTTTTTCTTTAAACAGTCAATCGTATATTTCGTAATGATTCGTATGTTATGCTCAATGCGTGTTTATATACATATGTCAATATATATATATATACACGTAACCACTATGTATAAATAATGTACATAAACCGCGAATATTTTTTTAGACACGTCATCGTGTGGTTTCCCGACTTAATATGGAAGATCATAATGTTTCTAACGTAATAACAATTAAATTAACTTTTGTGTTAGAATATATTCTATGGGGGGAGTGGGTGGGGAATAAGAAATCACAAGGAACCATTCTATCGAAAAAAAATATCTTTTAGCAGATTGTATGGCTTCTTTTTAATTAGTTCAATAGTTCTATGGCTTTTAATAAGAAAAAAAAAAAATCAATTCCAAATTTGTAGAGAGGGCTTTTCATTGTCTTTATGATTCATTGTCAGACAATTGTTATCGTACAATGGATCTACGAGAAATGTTTTCAAAACTTCTCGATATCAAATAAAATATTTAATAATCAAAATTATGATTAATATATTGTTTAATTAAAAATTATATTAACTTTGATATAAATTTGAACACTTTAATATATCAAGGCCAAACGAGTATAGTACTTGTTTGATAGATCTTTCAAAATGCTACTTTATTAAAGTCATATTTTTTTTTTTTTTTTTTTTTTTTTAATATTTTACCATTTTAGAATTTTGCGAAACTCCGTACATATATTGCAATGATGATAATAATTTTTACAACAATTTTCTGCGCGTAACTTTGTTTAAAAAAAAAACAAAATAATAAAGTAAATATTACTCGTGCAAGTTAATAGAAAAATATTCGGTAGAAATTTTTAAGTATTCCTAAAATGTTAATTTTATATCTTAGCAAACAGAATGAATAATAAAATACAAATAGCAAATATATAGAATATATACAATGATCATTTATTTCGTTTCTAAGAAAATTATTAAGTATTTGATTCGTCGCGCAAAGGACGTATATTTTATGTCTGTATTACACGTAAAAGAGATAACGATTATATTGGATTAGAAGTTAGATAACTAGTTTTTCTTTTTTTCTTTTGAAACGTCAAACAAACGGGGTTTGTTCTTTAATTTTTTTTTTGCATTTAATAAAAGTAAACGCAAATGAAAAATGTTGCATAAACAAAAAGACATGAAAAAATAAAAGAAGAAAATATTTATAAATGGAAGAAAGTTAATAGAATCGATAATTTCAAGCTGCTTACAAAAGAAAAGATAAATGTTGTCAATGATGCACCATTGTATTAGATTTTTATCTGATATCTTAAGAAAATAAAAGCAAAGTAAATTTTATCATTGAAAGAGATGCTGATACATATGTAATATTAAATAAATGATAAAATCATATTTTTATATCATTTTTTGCTTTAATTTAATCTCGTAATTATTATTGTCACACCAAATGTGCACATACGTAATTTATAATTAAATTATTTTATTTTTATATTTTTGATTAATATTATTTATACGAGGATGCTTCAATAGTAGCTTTACAAATAAAAATTGTATGATCTCAACGAATGTGTTATTTAATAAATTAAGTTACATGATATTTTGCAATATTTCAAGATACGAATCTACAGTTTCAGTGTTGTTAACAAAGTATAGAAATAATTACGTGAATCCAATTTGCGATTTTAGTAGACAAACAAAAAAATTAATTATTATTTAATTAATTAAATGTGTTAATCAACTTTTGGAGCATCCTGCATTTGCTATCGTTACGAGAATTCCATAAAAATGAATGAAAATTCTGACGCTATTTAAGCTAGAGAATCGAGTAGTTCTCCTTCAAGTATCCAAGAGAAGAACCAGTTCAGGGTCGAAAGGAATAAAAAAAAATAACAAGAAAAGAAAAAGTAGAGAATATTCGACAACAAATAAATATCGACGTTTAAAATCCTAACTATTTTAAATCTTGTTAGATCTTTAAATGATATACAACATTAATTAAAAAATAAGAATAAAACTAATAAAGAAAAAAACAAAGCAAGAGCAAACAACGTAACATAATAATTAATCACAATGAGATTATCATTTTTATGACGAATTAAAAAAAAAAAAAAAAAAAGAGAAAAGAAATGAAAATTTGTTACGATCATATTTTTATTTCAATTTAAATAAGTTAAATCTAATCGTAAATGTATGAAATGCTATCGCGAAAATTGAATTTAACAACGTTCAGGAACCACCGTTAAAAATATTATTGACTTGCTTTATCGTTTTGATCTCATATTAAAAATAGTTTCATTAATAGATAAGATAGGAAATCGAATGATACATAAATAAGTATGTATTCATTTCGTTATTGAACGTATTTTATAATTAAATTAAATAACGATCAAATAATTATCTTTCTTTTTTTTTTTTTTTCTTTCTTTCTTTCTTCCATTCACATTCCTTCTCTTACAATCAAATTATTTTCGCGAAGAAAAAATAGAATCCTATTCGATAAGATTGATTTGTGAATACTCGATAAACAATGATTATTATTCGTATTATCGCGATATAAATATAATTTGCATTTAATTACAGGAAAGCTGTTTCTTTCGTTTAATCATTGTATTAGAAACACGTGTTGCAAAAGTACACCGACTCGTCATCATCATCATCATCATCATCAATGTATCAAAATTAAGCGTGTGTATGTATGTATATATATATAATATGTTTTCTAATTCGGTGCGTCATTTTGTTGGCACTTGACGAAGCGAATACTTACGTCTCTTTCAAGATTTATGAGAGACAGGAGTAAATACCTATAAGTATGCATATACTTAATCATTTAAAACACACACATATATATATATATATATATATTTTATTTTATCAATGAAATTGATTGAACTATTTGTTAATATTACAACCATTCTTGCAAACGAATAATAATGACCCCATTATTAATTCGAATTAAACGAATTATAAAGCAAAACTAATGTTTAACTTTATCGTGATTATATAAAACACTACTGTATCTGACTAATATATACGAAAACACACGATTCGTTAGGTTTAATTTCATTTAAAAATATTTTGCGGATAAAGGAAGGAGAGGAGGACGAGGGGAAAGGGGAGAAAAAAACGAGAGGAAAACGGGAAAAGTGGTCGCGTTTAAAATAATTTTATCGAGCATTAAAAACGAAATTTTTTCTTTTTCCTTTTTCTTTTTTTATATAACGCATATAAACGAGTAGTTAGAGCGTGTCGGGTATTTAATACGGCACCGATGTTAAAGATAAAACGTGATAATTATTATGTTCAGAGAAAAATAATAACGTTTGACTAGTTCTTTTGTCTATGACCCTTTTTTTCTTTTTTCTTTTGAATGATATTAATTTGATAATAGGGCGGTAACGATTTTACCGTTCCTTATTATTAATAATATTGATTATTGTTCATCGTATATACCTTTTCTAGAACAGATTCCCGGTATCCTCGTTTTATGAATGATCCGTGTAAGATTATGAACTTCGAACCTTCGAAAAAGTCTTATCGTTATAAAACGAATATAATCATAATTATCTCTCTCTCTCTCACTCTACTATTCTCTCTTTTTTATCGCCCCCATAAATTTATCCAATGACAAAAATTATTTTATCATTTATCAAAACCATGAAACGTGTATTGAAAAAAAAAAAAGAAAAATGGGAATAATATTTGACAAAAGTTCGTAACGAAACGTAATTTCAATGGAACAAATTTGTTCTATTTGTTAAAGTAAAACGGCATCGAAAGAACGATGATTGATTTGTTAGATGACTTTCGTTATTACTTACATGATTATAAACTTAACTGAAGGTGATGATGATGATGATGATGAATAGTAGTAAAAAGACGACGTTTCAGAAGAAGAGGCCTCCTGAGCTCGATCCGACTGAAGCCCCGAGCCGTACTGGATGTAAAAATTTCACGAACCACGCGACACCCGTTCGTTTTCCTTTCGTATCTCGACCTCTACTACAAAAATAGTGGCGAACACGCAAAGAGAACGAAGGCCTCTACTGTCTCGTCGTCGTCGTCATCGTCATCGTCGTCGTTGTTAATCAGTAAAATTTCTTCTTTTCGTTGCGCGAATCTAAACGATAACGACGATTCCTATTTAATCAACACAAGATAACGACGATATTTTATTGTTTTTTTAAACATTTACTACTTTTGTGTTATATTCAATTAATATTTTTTTCCCTTCACCCTGCCGTAGGAACACTGGCAAGGAACCATAACAGCAGAAAAAAAAATGAAAAAGTGTTCTTATTTGCTCACTATTTGCTCAATTTAATTTAATGAAATATATGTTATTTTCTCGTTAATTAGTTGAAAATAATAATTACACTTTGAATAATTATGAAATGGCGACGTCATGAGTGGGAGATATGTTATACGCATGCGCAACCACAAATTCAAGGAGGCGCAAGCACACTTGGAAAAAAATGAAAGTAAAGTTGGCATATACCTACAGGGGATATATTTAAAGTTGATTTCCAAAGTAACAACCTATAAGGTAGTGTAAAGAAATAAATTAATCGTTAATAATGTATAAACAATAGATAAATATTTTCATTTTTTCATTTTTTTCTGCTGTTGCGATTCTATGCCAACTTTTTTGTAGTAAAGTATATAGAAACTCACAAGTCCCCTTTTTTATCTACTCAGCATCATTTTTGTTACCACTGGGACCACCATTGGACGATAGTATGTATTTAACGCGATGACGGTACAATACTATCAAAGAATACAATATTCTACGGTCTTCCTCTCCATCTATCTCTGTTTTATTATTATTATTTATCTCATATCGTCGTGTGGTAAGGTAGAAAATTATCTAACGATTGACAAATGTATGTATATATTTTTTTTTTTTTTTTAACAATTCTCTGCCTCTTTATACTTATCCACCCACTCCCCCTAACCTTTTCTTCTTTACTTTTGTCCTTCTGTTCTGAATGTTTTTTATTTCTCCGGTGTTTTATTTTATTTTTTCTTTTTCTTTTCTTTTTTTTTTTTTATTATTATTATTATTTATTTTTGTATACATTCATAGGCCCTAAATCAACTAATTCCATTGGCCGTTCCTGATCTTTCCGATAATAAATGCATTCGTGCTTGTAATGCGCGATATCCCCAGATATACGTGTATATATATATACACATTGACTTACAACGTTAATATTAATTAAATATATGTACACACAATTGTTTCGCCTACCTAAGCTAACTAATTTTGCAACGAGACTATAGTAGCGAGAATCGATTGCCTTTTTTTTATTTTTTTTTTGTTATAAGTTTGATATTATCAATGAACGTGTTATGTAAATAAGTACATGAAGTAATTACTTACACGTGTATTTTTAATATATACTTTGTTTTTTTTTCTTTTTCCTTTTTAATTCCTTTTCTCCTTTGGTTTTAAAATTTAAAATAAAAAAATCTTCGTACACTTTCGTCGGCCATGTTAGAAAAAAGTAATCGAATATAATTGTTTCTTTAATTTCTATATCGTCACTGATAATACTCGTATATATGTATAGAAATGATATACCATTCGTTATTCACACTCAAATGAAGCAATCAATTACAGAAGAGTATACACATGCATATATATATATATATATATATATATATATATGCATGGATATATTGAGAAGCACGGTGTTCGTAATT